TTTTGTTTCTAATTCTTTGAGCTAGCCTTATGTTTCAATGAATTTTGATCTAGCGCGGGCAACTTTGCACTCTTCCACATTCCAAAACACCAGCAGCATGAAGGGTTCACTGGAATGCACATCTGTTCTGCTAAATGTTTGTGTTTCTAAACTTCACCTACCTTACATCGATTCTTTTTTATTGAATTAAATTTCATGTAATAGCTATAAATTACTTGCAATACTGCAGACTTTTTCATCAATGATATATGTAATTGTTCAGTTACATGCAAAACGTCTACTGTTATTTTTGTTTCCATAGTCCACTTCTTGGGGAAACTTTTCGATCCTGATCATGCTTTCATGAGTGATCATCTTTTAATCTAGTTACTTGACTATTTGGTGATTTTTTTTTTTTTTTCTGTTTTGAGCTTTTGCAATAATTTCTAAACTTTATTTTGTGATATGTTTTGCCCATATTGTTAGTACCGCTGAAGAGCTCTGAAAATTTGGGTTCATCATTTGACTCAACCAGGATAAATTGTTTAAAACTGAGGCTAAGTCCTAGGCATGGACAGATAACCATGTTACAAGAGCTGTCCATCCAGTTTGCTGTAGAAAAAAAATTCACGAATAAAAAAATCAGTAGTCTAGTCATTGTCTAAATGGCAAGCTCATCAATTATGTTTCCACTAGTAACCCAGATCCTTGTTTGAGGTTTTACTTTGCATGGATCTGGAGACACGTATTTAGGGATATAAAGACATACTTTCAGAATGAAACCAACCTTGAGATTATCTAGCAATTAACTGAAGAAGTTACGTCATGAACAACATGCCTAAGAATGGTATAAAAGGATAGGAAGTCATCAAAGTGCAGAGCAATTAAGAATAAGCAAGGTTCTATAAATAGGAAGTTTTATTACTCCAGGTATTTCCCAATTTATTCCTTGGTTCCTGTAGCGTCATAACCCACAAATTATCTAGATTAGCTTTGAAACACAAGAACTTTGTAAGGTCTATGTTCCGTTTTTGAGTAGGAAATTATATCTTGGTGATCAATCAGTAATGGCGTGCTATAATTAAATTATTAAACCTTAATTACGGGAATACCCTTAAGAATGAGATGAGATTACTTGTAACATGTGGCTATAGGTGTTGCAGCCTGCAAGAGTATGATCAATGGAACGTTACTCGTAGATATCTTCTCTTTTTTCTTTGTTTTGGCTAGTTGTAATCATCATCATCATCCTTTTTTCCTCTGACTACTTTGAAGGTGGGAATCAGTTTTAAAGCAGGTCGCCTATTAAAAGTTAAAACATAGTTGAACCGATTTCGTTCACATTGCTAATTATTTTTGTAGAAAACATAGTAATATATCTTCTAGAATGTGAGAGTTAAAAGTGTAATTACAATGGGTATAGAATACAAACTTCATTAATTTATGTTCTAGTTTGCTGTCTAATATTTTATCAATGGAGCTTTTAGAGATATGGGGGGGTGGGTTGGGGTTTGTGCAACTTGTTTCTGGGATAAGAATTTGATGGTATAAATTGAAGCAGTACTGATGATATTGATGGTTTGATGTGAACCTAAGTACAGTTTCTGCAATAATTGTGCTTCACTATTGGAGATAGAGTCCAGTTGTAAAGAATCATGGAAAGAATTGCATGAAGTTTTTATTGTCATGGTGCTTTCAATATATAGCAGTTTTGATTGTTGTTTTTGGATAACTGGATTGCATAGTCGAATTGCATTTTCTAAGAAAAGAATCTGAGTATTAAAGCCATGTAGCATTATCCAAAAGAATAGTATGATTATTACTCCAATGACTGAGGTTTTGATACATGGTGTTTTTTTTAAGACTTTGTCCGATGTCTTAATTGGAATCAATGATTTGTGGAAGCAAATTTTTACTTGAGATAATTTCTTTAAGATTGATTTATTCTTCTTCTTTTTATCTGGATTTATTCTTTTTCTTTTCATGTGGTCCATTAACACTTATTCTGTGCTTCTCTGTTATGCAGTATTTTTTGTCCTGAACTGGTACATAATTGATAAGCATAATGCTGATGGTCACTAACCAAGATTCAACTGTTTTCCTGCATCCTGATTGTGTTATATGGGTAAGTTATTTTCAACCTCTAAAGCATTGAAATCTCTGTTGCTCTCCATGAACTGATGAACAAACTCTCTTGAATGTTCGGAACTTAGGTAAGATTTCCTTAAAGCTACTGCCTGCCTGCTGAAATGTTTCTTGTTGAACTTCTCTTTCCCAGTCCTCTTCAAATTGATATGCAACACCTGGATTGCATTCTTAGATAATGTTTGACTATTTCTATTTCCCAGACACTCTTGAATTGAAGAATAATTAACATAACAATATGGAATGTGATTCAGATTTGATCTTTTCAAGACCAGATTAATTGGAATAATCCAGATAAAGGCTATTGAAATGTGCAAGTGCTGTAGCATGTAGGGTACTCCTTAGTGCTTTGCCCTTTGGTTTTAGGCCATCCCCACAATGGTTCCCTCTCTTACAAGCTGATTATGCCCTAGAAAAATCTCACATGGTACCACCGGCAAAGGCACGGTGAATTCAAAAGCATGGAGGTAGGCTTCTTAAGGGTGTACCTAGTTCTGCAGGTCCCTCTTCAACAAGCATGTGACAAAAACCTTGTACCCTACACGGTGTTGCCTTCCAGCCAAGGGCACCTTTGTTTTTAACATCCTCCTATTAAACCTTAGACACGTGGCCCTTCTCCGGCCACTGCTATCGACTGCCACAGGATTCACTGGGGCATTAGAGATATCTCAGAGATGGCATTCGCTTCGTGGATGAAGAGGATAGGCTGCAATTTTTCCCATGGGGTCTCATATTTTTGGTACTTTAATGCTCTTATTTATTGCGTTCTGGAATGAAAGTAACAGAACATATCAATGGAGATGGGAACTTGGGAGAAAATAATTATCCCATTAATACTTTTTTTTTTTCATTTTTAATGGTTATAGCTACATACTCTAATGAAAGTCACACTTACTAGATCCAAAAATTAAATCATGATGACAATTGAGATACAGATTTCATAGAACCATGAGAGGTAAAAAAAGGGGTAGGCTCCGATTACGGAGCATTTTTAACGTGATTAAAGGCATCTTTCAGTTAAGCGTAACATCTTGTAGGGCAGTGGTGCTGGATAATTTCTGAAATCTAGTGGGTAGTCCTTGTCGAGGAACTGGGAATGGGCCATACTGAATCCCACTTTGAGAACCCACCACTTCCCACCTACAAGCAGAACAAAAAATCATCAAACACCAACAAAAGAGAGCATTGTCAAAATTATTTAGCGCTATAGAAACTAACAAAGATTTATGCTATAGAGAAGCACCAATGACAATGACCTTTCTTTGTGTAGAAAAATTGGTATATAGTTAATAGTGTACCTGAATTTGGTTACTAGATGGTGGATCAAAATGAGCATCTGTATCTTGGCAAGTTCATTGCCAGGGCAAGCATGGACGCCCTTGCCAAATGGCATGAAGGTATGTGGTTTCGGGGCTACCTGCATCCAACCACAACCAGAAACTTTTTTTTAGAAAAGGAGGAGCATTTTGTGAAATTCTCTATCCTTTCCTTTCTTTCTTTATTTATTTTTTGTATGTCGTATGTGCACGTGTGTGCTTGCGTGTGGAAAAGAAAGGGATTAACTTAACTAAATTCAAAGAGAAGTCTAAATAAACTTCTAGTACTAACTGAAACTACGTATATTTGGCTAACTGAAGCTATGTATAACCTTTTGCATACCTCAAACCTGGAAGGATCAAAACTCTGAGGATCAGGGAAGAATTCTGGATTGTGATGGATATTCCTGAAAAGTGGCATCACTTTCCAACCCTTTGGTATAAGGTATCCTGTGCATTCGTAGGGAAAAAATAAATTTTGATAATTAATTAAAACCACTTAAACTTAAATACCCTAAGGATAGAGAATATTCCAGTCCAAGTCCTTACCATTGTATTCCACATCAACTGTTGCTTCTCTGAATGTGAAAGATATGATGCTTGCCATCCTTAAGGTCTCCAGTACAACCTGAAAGATTTTCAATCAAATATGCCTTAGATGAGAAGTTTCTTATGGCAAACTACACATCTGTAAAAGGTACATACCCTATATGTAAGGGGCATATTCCTAGTCTGTGCCCATGTTAGGGGCATTTTTCCTCCATCATTTGCTTCATAGATTGCATTTTGCTCAGCCTGAAATGATTTGAACAGCCATAAGATCTTTTAACGTTTATGATCATGCATAAAGATTTCCTGAGGTTTTAATAGATGTAGTTCCTTGATTACCTTAACAGCTTCTAGAACACGCGGATTGTCGTAGAGGTATTTCAGTATCCAGGTTAGAGCACTAGCTGTTGTGTCCTGAGCAGCGAATAGTACTCCAATGATGTTATCAACAATTTGATCTTCTGTTAAAGTTTGCCCCCTTTCACCCTTTAAATTCAATAGATGACCCAAGAGATTTTTCTCCACCAGCCTTGTCTCCTTCCTCTCACAAATTATCTCACTCAGGATCCGATTTAGCCTTTTCCTTGCCTTTAGAGGAACCAGAAGTAATTAGATCAGGCTTAGCTTCTCTCAAAAGTTAGTGTATTTACAGATTCAAATAGAGAACATGGAAAATGATTCTTACTACGAGTGCTTTCTGGTATGCAGTGCCTGGAATGATTGTTGGAAAAGAATTGTAGCCTTTATCTACTATGGAGTAATTCTCCTCCAGCTTCTCTCTATAGCTGATATCCAAGTGACCAAAGATAGATAGAATACCAACATTGAAAGAAAACTGCAGGGGATCAGGAACACCCACATGTTAGAGAAAAAAATTATCCAAACAGAAAAGTAGAGTACCCAAGTGAGAAACCAATATTTTAGTGCCAGAATCAACAAAAACAAAAATCCCTATCAGACCTACACATTAAAAGTAAAGAATAAGACAATAGAATGAGAACCCCATTTGATTAAATAATTCAGATAATCCAAGAAGTCTTCAAGCAACATAAGGTTCACGTTATTAACATGCTTATTTTTATTGTCTTGTTGAAACAGACCTTCTTCGTCTCATCAAATGTGTTTGTGACTTGTGTGCGAGACCATGACTCCAAGGCAGACATGGCTATGGCTTCAATATCTGGAATCAGCTTCCGGATGCTGTCTGGGGATAAGGAGCTAAGAATCAGTTTCCTCAGGCAAGTGTGGTAGTTGCCTTGGTGAAAAAACAGTGCAGAAGAGCCGATCAACTTCTCTTTGCTTCTGGGATATGTTGGCTTGAAGAGATGACCATGAGTCACTAACACAAACCTTGCAGCCTCAGGACTAGTCAACATAACACAGGGACAACCCAGTACGTGGGTTTTGAATATATCTCCATATCTGAACAAGAAAACAAATCAGTGTCGTGTGCAGGAGAGCTTGGAAGGAAATTGAAATAAACGAAGAAATGATGAAAGATCAAACCTATTCTGTTTTGTTGCAAAAAAGATATTTGGGTCTTGAGAGTAAAGCTGGAGAGTCTCTCCTATGCATGGCCAACCCATTGAACCGGGAGGAAGTTTATAAGCTGCTGATCTTTTTACAAGTCCTCCCTTTTGCTTCCTCCTTATGAATGGATAGGAGAGAAGAGTGGAGAGGAAGAGAAATATGTATAATAAAATGGAAACAGTCTCCATGGAAATGCAGAAGCTCTTTCTCTACAATGAGATTATAAGCTTTGGTGCAGGAGTGATGGGGTGAAAGGAGTGGGTATATGGTGAAGCAATGCGTGATGGGAAGATGATATCAGTGTGGGAAAGTGAGGTATGGATGGGGTTTATATAGAGAAGAGGATAGAGAATGTAACGAAGGGATTTGTGCTGTGAATCAGGCATTGATTAAAAAATATCCAACGACCAACGTTAACATAATTTGACCCCTAGAAGTTACATTTAGCAACATGAAAGGAGAGGAGAAAGACTGACTCCTTGAAATTACATATGCCATGCCACGACATGACATATTTGGTGACCTCTTGATCTTGCACGGCACCAAATAACCTTGTTGTCTTCTTTGAATTGCTCTAGTCAAACCTAATTTACTGACCTGCAATTACCTTATTTTTCTACAGGGGGATAGGTATGTTCTTTCTCAATCTCTTCAGCTATAGAGATTCGAACATGAAACCTTTGATTTGAGAAACACAATATCATGACACACGGCAGACTTCCAAAGGTTTGCACCTCACACCTCTCAGTATTCTGATAGATCCTCATATCACCTTGTTAAATTCCCATGTGGAATTCTTTTATATAACTTGAAAGAGGAATTTTCTTCTATTCTAGTGAGGAGTTGCCGAGTTGAACTTAGGACTTAGAAATTGTCCGAGTTCTTAGGTTGAGACTTAGACCATTAAACGTAGCAAGCAAGTTCAAGTTCTAATTTGGAGTAAATAAAGAGTTGAAACTTGAAAAATGAACGTGAAGTGCTGAACATAATATAGTTCTTTCATTTTTCAGGAGCATCTGTATAGAAATTTAATTTGTTTGGCATGTATGCCGTTGGGCTCATGACCTTGTGCATATGGTTATAGAAAATTTTTTTTACACTTTTAAAAGATAAGGCTTAATTTAATAAATTATTTATTAATTATTAATCTTTTTTCAATTTAATTTAAGATCTTTATTTTCTTTCAAAATTATCTATTAATTTTTAAATTTATCTCAATTTATTTTAGTCAAACAAACCATATTAGTTTTGGTAATTAAATTCTACATTTTTAATTTTATGACATCACATAAACTATCATGTGGATAATAAAAGGAGGAAATTTTGTTTAAAAAACTTCTACCATATAAAGTAATCTGTTTAAAAAATTTCCACCATACGAAGCAGTTTTTTTAGAAACAATAAGAATTTTTCCTCCCATTTTCAAATTATATGATAGTTTATGCGGCAACTTATATGGTGTTATATAATAAAAAAATATAAAATTTTATTAATTCAGTTAATAAAATTATATTAGATTAGATAAAATTAAAATAAATTTAAAAGTTAATAGATAATTTTTTAAAAAAATAAAAAATTTTAAATTAAAATAAAAAAAGATTAACAATTAATAAATTATTTATTAAATTAAGCCAAAAAGACAAAGTGTAATTAAAGAATTACGCCCCAGGAGCAGGCAGTCAACATCTGCCTCCATGGATGTTCAGCAGGGCTGGGGTCGTGTGTTTGAGCCTCGGCCCATCCCCTTCCCCCCACCCTTGCTTCATAGAGAATTGAGAATAGTCGCAATTGCCCCTGTATATATATATATATATATATTTAAAAAGGTGTAAAGAGCTGCATCTTCAACCAGTGGAACTAGAATTTATCCAAATTTAGGTTAGGTTTTGTTTGGTTGGACTATTTTTAACAGTACATAATTGTAACTATTAGTTAGTAATTAATAGTTGGTAAATTATAATTATATTAATTAATAATTAATAAAATAATAAATATTAATTTAAAATGACAATAGGGCTGATGTTTCTCAATATCTCAACTTTTCATTTAAGAATAAAAATGCCAAATACACTCTCAATCTCTCCGAGGCTTCTTCTCTCTCTCTCTAAAGAACAACAACCAACCATAAGGCATTAACAGTACCCTTTTGCCGTATAAATACGAATGAATCATGGTCAGGAATGACTAATAGTTGTTTGAGTTAGTGGGATAAATAAAGGTATTTAAATTAGAAATAGCAATAATTATTAGACATTAAATTTTAATTGTTTCTTCCAAGTCTTGTTAACATCCCAATTTAATTTTTGAGGCTATCCTTGATTTCAAAAGACAAGTTATTTATTTACTTTTGTTTTTTTCTCTCTTTTCTAGAGTCCTCCTGCTTCTTACTAGAACCTTTCCAAAGATTCTTCGTTTTTTGGTGCTTGGAAACCATCCGGCATCTCGAGCATGGTGGAGACCTTCAGTGGTCTATTGGTTTCTTTTGTGGTCCCTTTTGGCAGTCTTTTTTTCTTTTTTTTTTCATTTCTCATTTTTTTGTTTTGTTGGTTCAGTTCAGCTTTGGGGGCCAAGAAGACAATGCAAAAGAAATTAGGGATTGATCACTACTAGTTTGGATCTTTTAGCCACAGCATCATGAAGATTGGGCTAATTTGTTTCAAAGAGTAGATTAAAGAATAGTATAATATTGGATCAAAGGAATATGTAAATATTAATTTATTCATAAGTTGTTCATGTGAATTGTCTATTATCTTTTTTTAATATTAATTTCACATTAAACTTAATTTATTTTTATTTTATATCTTTAATTGTGCTTAATATTTTATGTATAATCATAAATTTTTATTAATGAAATAAGAATGTTTTACTGTAGATGTGATGGGGTTTTGTTTGATTAATATGATTTTAACTTTTTTTTTTTTTGAACATGGAAAATTATGAGAGAAAAGAAAATTTTAAATAATTGATAAAAGTCAAACTCTGAACTAACTAAATCTAAATATTAAGGTTTGAGGTAAAATATTTGACAAAAAAAACCAATTCAGCTAACATGATTTTCACTATGTTAAAAAAGAAGACAACTTATTTATTTATTTAAAGTTTAATTGTCACATCATAACTATTTTTTTTAATTTTTTAATGATTTCTCTAAAAATTCAAAATTTTAGTTAAAAAAATGAAAACAAACTTTCAATCTAACTAAGCTATTACTCCTTCTTTTCTTTCTTTTTTTTTTTGCATTTGATTATAGGTTATACAAGAGGAAATAATATTCTCTTATTCCTAAATCTTTCCCATCAACTCAAGATTCAAACTTAGAATCTCTAATTTAGAGTTTAAAATTTTTAACTATTAAACAACTCCATTAGAGTTAACTAAACTATTACTCTTTCAATATGTCACAATACTAGCTTGGAATTATGTCTCTTTTATTTGTATCACATAATTAATGTGAGAAAACTACACCTCACCTAGCTATTGATGTAATCCAACATCTCCTTACAAGAGAGCATCTATTCCGTTTCTAGAATCCAAATTCTTTAACAAGCATGTTTAAGTTAACGAAAATGGAGGGAAAAGAAGGACAAAGATATCTTTTTGTTTCACTCAACCAAAAACACATAGGAACATGCTAAGTTGATAAGGGATAAGAGGAGTGCTATAAATTTTTTTTTTTCATTTAAGACTTTACACGTGATTGATTTATATGACATATATTTCTTTATTAGTGCTAAATTCAAATGATCCTAACTTTTTTTTTTTTTAATTTTGAATTGTATAATAAAAAATAATCTTCTCTAATTTCTTAACCCAATTCACTCAAATATCATATAAATTAAACTCAATTTTTTAAAAAAAAAAAGAGTTTGTCATTATACCATTTAAGTGATTGGCCAAATAATGCTAATTTTTAATAACAAATGATACATAAAAAATCTGTCATAAATTCTGTTAAAATAAAATGTAGCAAAAGGAGAGTGTAAAAAAGAGAGTCCACTCCTTTAAAAGTTGCGTGGAGAATCCTACCCCTAAAGGATGGTAAAACTAAAGTAAGGTATAAAAGTCATCATTTTTCTCATCTTTTGCTACTTGAATTTCAACATTCCCATGAAAGAAAGAAAATACCCACAACTTTCTGTGTGTGCCATTGCATTAATTTTCATATGAAAAATGATTAATTTATTATATAATTCAATACATCTGTAAATATCAATTAGTTAAGTTATCAAAATTTATATTTAAAAATATTCTTCTTAAATTTAAATTTTAAAAAATAATTTTTTAATAAATATATTATAAAATATATTAAATTAAATGATATATCAATTATTGTACTTTTCGTATTCCTCTTAACTATTACAGATATATCCGGCCTAGTATATTCCTTGTTTACCAAGCCACAAAATCTAAAAGCTTCTTATCATGAGTTATTTTAGTCGGTTGATTCCAACTTTATTACTACATGTTAACATATAAAAGCTACTTAAACTTTTGACTTGAAACCCATAAAGATGAACATGACTTTGGACGGAGGTAATGCCGGCGACTAATAGGTAGTTTCCGGTGTCAGTAGGTGATCTCAAGACATGAACAATTAATTTGTTTAGAGGAAAGATTATTACCTTCCTTGTCTTGTTTCGGACCAACTAGTTATGATTCAGTGTTGAATTTGGTCTTAGTTTTCTTCTTTGCTGGGAAATGGAGCAGTACATTTACTCTCAAACATAAAGGATGTTCAATAATTCAAGGAAGAAAAGATTTTTGAACGGTGTACCAAAGCCTAGCTAACCGAAAAATACAGTGTTTTTTTTCCTATTAATCATGAGTACAAAAGTAAAGTACAATTTATTTGGAATTTTTATATTCTTGATGTCTTAAATTTATTTATTCATCAATAGTTTCGTTTTTTTTTTTTTTCAGTAAAAGTTGCCATCTTTCAAAAGCAAAAAATTTAATAATAATAAATAATAAAATAAAATTTTAAATTAATAATATAATATAAATTATGTTATTTAAAATATTAAAAAATAAATTTTATATTTATTAATTAATTTTTTATTTTTTTAAATTTATAATATCAAATATATATCAATTAATTTAATAATATAATTTATATCATATCATTAATATTAAATTTTTATTTTTTTTATTATTACTATAAAAAAATAATATAAAGATTTGGGGTTATTTTCAAAAGCTACATTATAGCAAGAGCAGTGCTAGGGGCACTCGCTTCCTGCACTCTCCGGCAAACACTGCCCTTTTCATTGGGCCACGTTGTTTTAGTTGGCCAACACTGCAGTG